GTGTGTGTGTGCATAAACATTTGCGTATCTGTTCACTGAAATTTCAAAAATTCGAAAGATATTGCGAAAAATTCCCATGCGAATGACACGATTTCCCTTCTTACAGGGGCGATTCATTACATCAGCACCCGGAACGTACAGGGCAGTCAAGCAGTTGTCTGTGGCAATTCAAACGTTCTAGGGGCGAGCAAAACCAGCATTAGTCTTCGAGTGCCGCCAAATTCCTTGGCCACTTTGAACATGGTTGTTGCGGCGCATGATCGTAATCGCAAGTTTTAGAACGAAGACACCATCGTATCGACTACGTTTTCTCTTTTCCTGTCTTTTTTTTTTCTTCTTTTTTCTATCTTTAAGAGATGTCTTTTGGGGGAAAAAGCACGAGAGAGTCGTTTCAATTGTACGCGAATGAGCACCTCAGCACCCTGATGTTTCTTTCTTTCAGTGGAATGTAAAATGTACACATGTAATAAACACTTTCTGCGTTTTACTTTCGTTTCAATTTGTTAATTTACATTTTCTCTTTTTATTTCAATCAAACAAGAATCGTTGCTTTGCACTTTTCGAAACCTTGTCGATTTGTGACGAGAAATGGTCAGAAGATGGAAACTAACGAAGCAATCGCAAAATCCTCTAAATTGTGTGTATAAATATAATAATATAAATTTTTAATCAAAATTTGTTCAAAATAAACACTAAATAGTGGCACAGTTACAGTTCAAGTTAAATCGACAGAAAATGAGCCATTCAGTTTGAAAATGGCACAAGTCACTTTGCAGTTTACTTTACTTTAACGAAGGATGACGATTCGTTAATGTTTGTGTTGAGAAATTATTTATATTGAGAAGAATATGCAAATATCTAAGATAACAAATAGCAGAGAATCTTTTCGAAAGTTAGAATCAATTTCTCTAGGCACCTTAAAACGCGTTCTCCAATCAAGACAAACTAAATCGGTTCATTAATACGGCCATTGACTGTTGTAAATAATTGTTTCCTCGTATAATTTTATGAGAACAGTATTTTCAAGTAAATGATTTTCCATAAATTGTATTTGCTCGACATGTTAAATAGATGGAAAGCATAAATTTAAAGTTGAACAAATTTAAATTTAAGTTATTGTAAAATATTGAAATAAAAATATTGACTAAATGTATTAATTAAATTTGTTCTAAGGCCTGATTTTACTTCCACGTTTTGTTAATTAATATTTCTGTGATTGAAACACATTAATCTGATATTTGTTAGGATTTCTCATGAATTGATTAATGGATAGATGTTTGAAGATAATTTTGTTTTGTTTCTGAAAGACTGAAGGATAAATTTAAATCTCGTTTACTATGATACGGTCCTCTTCCCCTTGACTGGGAAATAAATTTTAAATCATCGTGGTTTAGTCAGCTGAAATGACGTGATTGATCGTTCGTATCATTAAACATTTGATTACGAGTTTTGCTCGCTGAACACTTCCAATTGAAACAATTAAAGTGTTAAATTACGCGTGTTTCGTGCACTTCAATTACACGATAGAGATATCTATACGCGGAACGAGATTATATCAACTTTTCCAAGGAAATGTCTATGTAGACAGGATGTTATTTACCTTCAGACTTAAAAACAAATTTTTCGCGACAGAAATTTTCCTAAACAATCGATAATTTCATTCTAATTGTAAGACCAATTTTGTGATAATTCGTAAGAGAATAAAAAATAGCTGTCTAAATAAAATGCGTTTAAATAGAATACGTTCTGAATAAAAATAATCTGAATGAGCTGTGACTAATATCGTCGATAAAAATTGCGAAATGTGGATTATTATTTTATCTGACAAAGATACCGGAAAGAAATTAACTTTCTCTATGGATTATTATTTTATCTGATCAAATCTTAAAACATCAAAAGATTACATTTTCAATCATGGAATAATCCATTTTGGAGATAATTCATTTCGATAAACTAACATCAATTGGGACACGTTATCGAATAGAATATTAAAAAATCGTAAATAATCGTAAAAATCTTCAAATAATTCGTTCAAATTTCTATTGCAACAAGATGTAATCCTTTAATCTGGATCTGTTTTTTTTTTTTTTCAAAAACAATAATAGTATCATCGAATCATAAATGAAATTTTTAGAATACATTTTACGTCACATATGAGTTAGTGTATTGAATTTCTGACATTCTTTTAATTCTTTTAATTCTTTTAATTCTACTGATAATAAATGTAAATTAATGATGTAAAACAGAACGGAAATTAAAATGAAGTCAGCTGGTACTAAATAACTTAATCCTGTCTTTTACGACTAAAAAAATAGAAAGAAAAATTCCACGATGTCCAGTCTAGCTAGACAACTATCACCATTTTGTATCATCAGTGCACGGTACAAATCGACAAAAAAAAGAAGGATAAAATATGATACGTGAAATGATAATGACGATATGATATAACGATATGGAAAGAGAATATGGAGAATGATATAAGGATATCGTGAAATGATAATAATGCGATTATATCACTAATAAAAATTAATTATAACGAAATGAAATTACAAGCAAAAGATTGTAGAAGCATTTAGATAAGATATGCAACATTCCGATAAATTTTCGGTTTGGCATATAAAAGAGCTGTAGTTGTACATCTTCTCAGCACTGATATAATCACTGATACAAAATGTTCCGTTTAGTCGTCACTGTCTTCATCGTGGTCCTGGCACAGGCCACCTTTGCCATCGATTTTCTAAAACCTAAAGTCGT